ATAAGACCTAAAGACATAACATTTTAACCGAAGATGCCTTATATGAGTACGCAGGACAGGACCTTAAATTTAAATAAAACAAGATAGAACGCTACAGTCGAGCAAGCCCGACAGTAAAATAGCCTGTACTCTCCACAAAAAAAGAAAAATTAAAAAAAAAAAAAATTAAAAAAAAAAATTAAATTATTAAAAAAAATTAATGAATTAATTAATTAAATTAAATTAGAATATATATTTATGTTTAGTTTTAACAGCATACATTTACATCACGTACCTATGCGTGTTTATATGCGTGTATGTATGCAGCACAAAGTTGAACCAAAGCAGCAACAACAACAACAGCTGCGGGCAGCGCTGCCGACAGAGGCAGCGCATGAGCAGCGATTTTACTTATGGCTATAACTTTCTTCAGAATTGACCTATCATGATGAAATTTGGCACACGGACACATTAGTACTAACTGGATGTACCTACCAAAATTGATTTCAAAATTCCGAGAATTACGGAAGTTATAAGAAAAAACACGAATTGCGGGGGAGTGGGGGGGTGCATCGAAAAAAAACTCAAACTCGTACTTTCTCGGTCTTAGGAGAATATGGAAACCAAGTTTGGTTATTCTAGCTCTTATACTTTCTGAGATCCTTGCGTTCATACGGACAGACGGACAGACAGGCGGACAGACGGACGGACGGACAAGGCTATATCGACTCGGCTTCTCATCCTGATCAAGAATATATATACTTTGTGGGGTCTGCCACGCCTCCTTCTGTGTGTTACATACATGCGCACAAAACTAGTATAGCCTTTCACCCTTTGGGTACAGGCTATAATAACAGTACCAATATTAATAACGTATTGAAATTGGACAAAGAAATAATTACATACTTGAACTTCTTAAACGACTAAAATATAAGAAATAACAAGAGAGAACGCTACAGTCGAGCAAGCCCGACAGTGAAATACCCTGTACCCAGGTAAACTCCCGACACTGAGGTATATGCAGAAGCAACAAGAAAGGAATGCTAAAGTCGAGCAGGCTCAACTCTCAAATACCCTGTACCACCCCACAAAAAAGAAATTAAATTAATTAATTAATTAAATTAAATTAAATTAATTAAATTAATTATACAGAATTAAATTAAATTAAATTAATTAAATTAATTACCTAAATTAATTTAATTAATTAACTAAATTAATTTAATTAATTAACTAAATTAAATATAAAATATTCCATGCATGCATACATACATTTACATTTGCATCAGAATCGTGCCTTATGCGTGTTTGTGTACTTGTACATATGTATGTATGTGTGCATTGGGCCTGGTTATATGGCTATAACTTTCTTTCTGATCAAGCTATCATAATGAAACTTGGTGTACGTATATATAATTACTAACTGGATGTGTCTACCAAAAATTCAAAATTCCAAGAATTACGGGAGTTATAGAAAATCGTTAATAGGGGGGGAGTGGGGGGGAGGATCAGAAAAAATGAACAAACTCGTCGTTTCTCGGGCTCAGGAGAATCTGTATACCAAGTTTGGTTATTCTAGCTCTTATACTTTCGGAGATCCTTGCGTTCATACAGACAGACAGACGGACAGACGGACAGACGGACATGGCTATATCGATTAGTATTATATCCGTATACCAAGTTTCATTATGATAGAATGATCGGAAAGAAAGTTATAGCCATATAACCAGGCCCAATGCACACATACATACATATGTACAAGTACCCAAACACGCCTAAGGCACGATTCAGATTTAAATGTATGTATTTAGTTAATTCTTCTTCTTCTTGACTGGTCTTCAAACCCGTTATCGGGCTATGACCTGACGTAACACAGCTCTCCACGCGCCTCTGCTTCGCGCGCGTCGCTTCCAGTTGGTCACTCCGCAGGTAGTAAGTGCGTTCTCTACCTGGTCCTTCCAACGTAGGCAAGGCCTCCCCCGTCGTCGTCTCCCCCCAACATCCGCATCGAGAACTTTTTTCGCTGGGGCGTCTTCTTCCATACGCACGACATGACCTAGCCAGCTTAGCCGCTGGATGTTTATTCGCTTGACTATGTCAATGTCAGCGTAGAGCTCGTACAGTTCGCTGTTCCATCGTATGCGGTAGTCGTCGCCAACGCGTATGGGACCGAAGATCTTCCGAAGCATCTTTCTCTCAAACACTGCAAGAGCTGCTGCATCAGTCTGCGATATCACCCATGCTTCTGCACCATAAAGCAGCACGGGGAGGATGAGCGTCTTGTAGAGCGTTAGCTTGGTTTTTCGGGAAAGGTCTCTGCTACTCAATTGCCTACTGAGGCTGAAGTAGCATCGATTGGCTAGAGTTAATCTCCATTTGATTTCTAGGCTGACATCGTTGGTTGCTGTGACGGTGGTGCCAAGATACATAAAATCTTTCACCATTTCGAAAGTATAGTTTTCCACCGCGATCTGGGAGTCTGGTTGCCGCGTGTCCCTGCTAGAGGAAAACATATACTTAGTTTTGCTCTCATTTATCACCAAACCCACTTTTGCAGCTTCCTTCTCAATAGCCGCAAATGCTCCGGTGACGCCTCTCCTGGTACGGCTGATAATGTCTATATCATCAGCGTACGCAAGAAGCTGAACGCTTTTAAAAAAGATCGTTCCGCCTCGGTGTACACCAGCTTTGCGCACCACACTCTCCAGCAGGAAGTTGAAGAGGTAGCACGAGAGGGCATCGCCTTGCCTGAAACCTCGAACGGTATCAAAGGGGTCGGAGAGGTCCTTTCTTACCTTGACGGAGCTACGAGTGTTGCTCAACGTCATTCTGCAAAGTCGCACTAGCTTTGCAGGGATACCGAACTCAGACAGTGCGGCATATACACGTTCCCTCCTCGGGCTATCGAATGCTGCTTTATAATCGACGAAAAGATGGTGGGTATCGATTTGAAACTCATGGGTTTTCTCCAGGATTTGGCGTAGCGTGAATATCTGGTCAGTGGTGGATTTACCAGGCATAAAGCCGCACTGATAAGGCCCAATCAGTGCTATCGCAAATGGCTTTAGCTTATCACACACTACGCTTGATATGACCTTATATGCGACGGAAAGAAGGCTGATTCCACGATAGTTGGTGCAGACCGTGGGATCACCTTTTTTTAGGACGGGACATAGGACACCGAGATTCCAATCATCAGGCATGCTTTCAGTTAGCCATATTTTGCAGATGAGTTAATTAATGAAATTAATTTAGTTAAGTAATTTAATTTAATTAATTAATTAAATTAATTTAATTTATTTTTTGTGGGGTGGTACAGGGTATTTAAGAGTTGAGCCTGCTCGACTTTAGCATTCCTTTCTTGTTTACGCTTAAAAATATTTTTATTTCTATTAAGATTAATCTGTCAATGATAATCAACACGGAGTAACTTTTTGTTAATTTCGAACATGTTTATAGCCTGTACCCAAAGGGTGAAAGGCTATACTAGTTTTGTGCGCATGTATGTAACACACAGAAGGAGGCGTGGCAGACCCCACAAAGTATATATATTCTTGATCAGGATGAGAAGACGAGTCGATATAGCCATGTCCGTCTGTCCGTCTGTCTGTATGAGCGCAAGGATCTCAGTAAGTACAAGAGCTAGGATAACCAAAATTGGTATCAAGGTTCCTATAAGCCCTATGCAGAACGAGTTTGTTTATTTTTTCTGATACACCCCCCCACTCCCCCGCAATTCGTAATTTTTCTTATAACTTCCGTAATTCTCGGAATTTTAAAATCAATTTTGGTACATCCAGTTAGTACTAATGTGTCCGTGTGCCAAATTTCATCATGATAGGTCAATTCTGAAGAAAGTTATAGCCATAAGTAAAATCGCTGCTCATGCGCTGCCTGCAGCTCTGTCGGCAGCGCTGCCCGCAGCTGTTGTTGTTGTTGCTGCTTTTGTTCAACTTTGTGCTGCATACATACACGCATATAAACACGCATAGGTACGTGATGTAAATGTATGCTGTTAAAACTAAACATAAACATATATTCTAATTTAATTTAATTAATTATTTTAATTAATTCATTCATTCATTTTTTTTAATAATTTAATTTTAAAAAAATTTTTTTTTTTTAATTTTTCTTTTTTGTGGAGAGTACAGGCTATTTTACTGTCGGGCTTGCTCGACTGTAGCGTTCTATCTTGTTTTACCTTAAAAACAGTGGAAACTTAAAAAGCAAAACTATTTTTGTACATTTGTCGAAGTCTAGAAACGTAACCCCATATCTTGTATGGAGTCCATGTCTCGTTTAACACGATTTCGCCCGTTTGAGGCGAGGACTAGTTGTACTTTTTTACTAACAGCTTAGCACGAAGGGGTCTTTTTACAGATAATATGTCAAAACCTAGCTTAACATAGGCCATTTAACTAAAACGATATGATTCATACTGAATTGAGAAAGTTTCTTTTTATAGGTGAAGGTTTGGGAGTCGGAATGGAGTCCATCGACAACCAAATTCAAAGTAATTCAAAATCTATTTCTAGCAAAAGATTATATAGGACGGATGCAGTAAAGTATTTGTTGTTAGACACTGTAAAGGGAACATGACTGCGTTTGTTTTGTCAATTGAATTGAATTTTGAATTGCAATGTGCTTATACTATACTTGTATTAATACAATTTTAAGTATTTATCAATAGTGTTTAAGATATTTCATGAAATACTCAGTTTACTAATCTATAACTTCATAACATGAATTAGTAGAATTTTTGTAGAATTACAAAATTTGTGTACTGTAAAAAATAATGTGCACGTTGGTTAACCCATAATACTTGTAACGTAACAATTTTTTCCCAATAAAATTGAAATAAATAGAAAAACTACTTAATCGGAATAGGTTGTTGCTTTAATGGGTTAAGGCTACTGCTTTTCTGGCGAATGAAAGGCGCCAATTAATTAGACGTATTTGCATTAATTTATGCGTCTATATAAGTACGTCATATTAGTGCGGCCTGGCCTCTGTTAGTCAATCAGTCATTGGGGAATGGTAGTTGTCGTGTTTCATTAACCCAGCGTGCCAATCACATGTAGAAATTCCATATTTGTTTGCACAGCGGGGAAAACGCAATGGGCAGCAACAACAACAGAAGCTAATATGATTTCATAGAATTGAATGCCTGACGATTAAAATATTTCACACGTTGCCCGCACAATACATTCACAGAACGAGCAGCCGGACACTGCACTGGCCCACAAATGAGACGACAACGCTGTGGAATGTTGTTGCAACTGTGGCTGCAGATAATGTTGTCGTCATCGGCTGTGACAGATGCCAGCTATGCCTCCAGCAAGCCGCCCACACTGGAATTGCCGCAGCCCCTGGCAACCGAGGAACTGAGCGACTGGGATTGGCTTGAGGATAGTGTGGCAATCAGTGGGCGCAATGGTCGTTCCCATCGACCCACTCTCATGGATGTGGCCCTGCAGGTGAGCGTGCGGCAAGGACTCGATGCCATGGCCGAGGTGTACGGAAAAATACAGCCCGACATGGTGCGCAATGGTAGGTGGTCTCTGTCTTTCTCTCTCTCTCTCTCTCTCTCTTCATACAAAACTAATAAAAGCAAAATATGTTATTTTTCCCGAATTTCTTTTCTTTTTTTTCCACTGCCGTATTTGTGGAGATTTGTTCAATTGTTAGGCATCGATTAGAACCTGGAGAACAAAACATTCAAAATACCACTGAACTATCAATTTTTTAAAGCCTCGTATATAATTTTTCCTGTTACTCAATTCGGCGATATACATTTTAAACAAATTTGAATATAAATATATTAAAGACCATAGAAAGGTTTTTACTATTTTTATACCACCCGCATCTAGAAGTCTACTGAAATTTATCATGGAAAAGGAAATTATACTTAACTTGACCGTGAAAGAAATATCATTTAAACTGCAATATATACTATATGTACTATACTATGTTTCCATAAAGAAAGACATGTTTATATTTTGCATTTTAATCGGCTAGAAATGTATTTACGACTGGATATTTGAGTAATACTTTTGTAAACGATATATAATGATAAAAATATATGGAGCATTACAATATTTAAGCATTCCTTTTACTTTTGACTAATAGAACTAGATGTTTTAATAATGTTTATGTTTTTTTTATCAAATACTTTGTATTATTAATTGTGCCTCCCGAGACAGGCTTGTTTACACTCCTTTTTATACCCTGTACCCGTAGGGTAAAAAGGGTATATTAGGTTTGTGCAAAGTATGTAACAGGCAGAAGGAAGCATCTCCGACCCCATAAAGTATATATATTCTGAATCAGCATGACGAGATAAATCGATCTCCGTCCTTCCGTCCGTCTGGACGAACGCAAGGATCTCAGAAACTATTAAAGCTAGAATAACCAAAGTTGGCATCCAGATCCTCCTAGGTCCGAGAAAAGACGAGTTTATTTTATTTTTTGGAATTTTCTCCCCCTTCCCCCGCTACAGAATTTCGTCAATACCGTCCACATTTCAAATGCTACCTAAACCAAACTTTGCACACAAAATGTATACATAATAATCTACTTTAATCTAAATCGGTTAATGCTAAGAAAAGTTATTACCGAAACAAGTTCTCGCCAGTACAACCCCCCCCCAAACTGCAGCAACAAGTTCGCTCTTCTTCTTCCTCTTTTTGCTGCTGCTATGGGCGCATATAACTCAGTGACGGAAGTTAACATGGGTGCAGGGTATTTCACTGTCTGGCTTGCTCGACTGTAGCGTTCTCACTTGTTTTATGTTGTTGCTAAGTCGAAATATATTTTGAAGTAAATATTGTAGCTTTTCGTCTATATCTCAGAAATACTATTGAAATTCTTTTGTTGCTGAGCTTTTAACGAGAACGGGCACATACTGAACAATTGGCAGCAATACAATTTCCTAAATCTTTAGATGTAATAGAAGAATATTAGGTTGCAGTTAAGTTTTTGAAGGCTTTCTGAAATAAAACTGTATTATTTGATCAGACTCAGCTAAGTTCCTCTACTTTGATGTTGCAGGTCAATTGCTTGAGGACAACCATCCGGCCGCCCTGCTCTCCCGTTTCAATGAGCCGCACTTCGATACGGAGAGGCGAGAGATGGCCGCCTATGCGACCATTGCAGCAACGAAGGCATTTCGCAAAAAGTGAGTCATAAGGCCCATACCAGACAATACTACTTATTCGCAAATGTAAATGTATACATATATGTATTTCAATATGCCATATATTTGTAGTGTGGGTGGCGGTGACGGTGGCTGTGGCGGCGGCTTCAGTTCAGCGTGTTTGCAATAAAAATGGCCACAAATAGAAATGGCAAATGGCAAAAGCTATTGCCAAAGCGAAGCACATAATTAAAAATCAAAGTGTATATATGTATATACATATACAAGTATGCATATGTATACTACAAGTATGTGCGTGTAACAAGGCAAAAGTTTGGGGCCGCAAGCGATCTCCGGCGCATGCAAAAACCAATAACATGGTCATATGAGTGTGCTGCCCCAAACCGCTACTCCCGCTTAGCCAGCTACTGATTTTGCTGCTCTCGCTACTGCTAGAGCCCCGATGACATGCGCCAACTTTCTCGCTTGATTAACGAGTTCTACGGCTCTGGCTAATGAGTTGAAGTGCCCCATCAAAGTGCTCCTAAATGTGGCCAACAATGCGATTGCCCCGACTGTCTGTTGGAGCTCTTGCTGCTGCTCATGACTAAGAGTAAACTTTCACTTTGACATTGAAATGCCACATAATTGCGTTGCCCTCCACCACCCCACCCACCTTCGAGCGGGCAAGTTTTACGCAGGCTAAGCCAAATTGCACGATAAGTGAAGGTAAATTGAAGCTGACACTCTGGCTGGCTGCCTGGGCTCAAAGTTAAATGACCTCGTTGGTTGCCTGGACACCACCATCGGAAATGCCACCGGGCTCCAGTAGCCGTAGCCGTAGCAGCAGCAGTAGTACTGGCAGTAGCAACAACAGCACCTTGCGTTGCCTCTTGTTGCTTATCCAGTTTGCAAGTTTTCACTTTTCACAAACGAGTTGAGAGCATTGTGAAAATTTCGTGCAATTTTCCACACATATACGCATTAAGCTGAACAAAGAACTTTCACCCGAAATTCGAGCGGCATCGTCGAAATGCCCGAGCATCAGGTGCAATGAGCTTCGACCAAGCCAAATGCCACCACAATGCCAATAAGACTTTTATGTAATTGCATTTGAAGTGCGCAGCGTTGGCAAATCAATGAGCCGCATACCAACAACTGTGGACACAAAGGCTACTCCCCATTCGTGTCAATTCATTCGGAGACGTCTTTGGCGCCAAATAAAACAGATAAAGGCCAACACGGCAGCACACTCGAGTAATTTTTGATTATGTTAAATACTTTGCAAATACAAGTATTGAAAGCTATCAATAAACTTTGGAGTGGTTTGTATTGGATCGAATGCAGGACTTTCCTGACCGAACAGTTCTTAGTATATAATGTCATCTAAATTGCTTTGCGATGAAAAGCTAAGTTGCGGCTGGTATGGCCTCCGAGGCAAAATAAGGAAATATTAATAAAAACTGCAATCAATGGCTGACAGTTTTCAAACTATTGGGGGAACTCAGAAGGCATTTAACTGTGATGAACAGGAATACTCTTTTGAGAGTTTCGAAAAAGCTATTTAAAAACGAAAATATACCTCATCAATTACCCGGTTTAATGAGTCGGTTATTTTACCTCAATTGCTCATTTTTGCGAAGCTATTTTGTGTATTTAGATTTATAATTGTACAATCTATACACAAATCTAAGTTAGCCCCAAATAATTATGGATTACATGCAATAAATTCGTATACAATTTTGCATTTAAATCATTGTAATTCCAAGCGGGTCTCTCTGTTTGTGTGAGACCATTTATTATCTTCTATTGTAAAAACCAGGGGTACAAGCATTTTTAATTGTCTGAATACATTTTGTTGTTGGCTTCGTTTGAAATCAGGGTAGCCTAACGCTTAATGATGAAAAGCTTAGATGATCGTACAGACATAGAGAAAGGAAAGATTAAAACAAGCTAAATCGTTTTGACTGACCTTTTAGGGTGTAACTCTGCAAACCATTGTATCGTTTCGTGTACCTTGAACCCTGGCATGCACAGAAATTAGGAAGGATGTACGAGTCATATTGTGAAGCTCTTACATTGATCGCTCTATTTTGAAATGAATGGGCATCCCCCAGTATTGCATGCCCAGTCGGGCTTCAAAATGGCCTGGCATAACAATAATTTAGAGCGATGACCCGACAGTGAGTAAAGATGTTGCTGCTGCCTGCTAAGCTGGTCCCTGTTGTAGAAATGTGTGCCCGACTGGTATGGCGTGATTCCCAGATACCTGTATTTGCACTGTGTTGGATCGTGATATTGATACTAAAAAATGTATCTGATTAAACTACAAATTATCAAATTCAATTTTTATTGCGCTTTACATTCTGGGAACTTGGGCTTATCCAAATTGGCAATTTGATTCAAACTATAGAACATAATGGATATGTTGGACAGCTGTACCAGCATTTGTACATCTCCAAAATATGGAATAATCTGTTTTCTTCTTTAATCTGCAGATTTTATTAACATATTTTATTCATTGAATAACTTGAATAGATGAGATTTTGAAAGCACACATCGAAACTCAAGCAATGTTTTAGGAACTCAATCGAACTTCCACTTTTGTGTCAATTGCTGAGCCAAGCACATTGTTTTCTTTAAAAACGTTTCTAAAGTGATTCGATAAGATCGCAAGTAGAATTTGAATATGCTTTTAAGCAATTGAATAATTTTGTAAGGTGTTATAGGGAAAGTAAAGTAGAGAGGTCTAGTTAAGTTTTGTCGATTTATGTACATATATTTTAACTACTTCTGCTACTATCTAGCTGGTAATTTTTTTTTTTTTTGCATTTCAAAATCTAAACATATTATTATAGTTATAGAAGTGTGGGTATATTGAGAGAAGTTTATGTATACACTAGGAGTGCATATATGGCACATACTCGTACAATCTTCAGCTCGACGAGTCAGCACCCTCGCTGATGATGTGACTGCTGCTCGTTAATAATGCCAAAAAAAAAAAGCAATTGGCCAAATTAGAAGAAAGCGAGTGAACGCTGTAATTATATGGACAACAAAACTCACACTCGAAAATTATATACAAGTAGTGTGTTAGAAAAACAAGCGTGTCGCAGTCCGCCAAAGCGCGCGTTCCCTTTCACACCCGATGGGCATAATCAGCGTTCGCAACTCGATTACATCAAACGACAAAAACATCAAATGAACAAGCAACACATACATACATACTTACACACGAGCAGCAAACAAACAAATACACACACACACACAGACACAGACACACACACAAAGTAATGTCGGAGATCACTGCTAAAAACAGAAGAAAAAACAAAAACAAGACGCGACTTTCGTTTTCTACAAGCGCCACGACGCCACGAAGCCACGAATTCGGCCTCAAGCTTGAAGCTTCCCGTACGAAAGTTCGACTGCTGGCTCAGAGTTCATTGACAGCGACGCTAATGCGCTTTATACATACATACACGTATGTGCTCGTTTGTGCGTGCGTGTGTGTGTGTGTGTGTGTGTGAGTATGATGTTGATGTTAATGTTGCGTATACGCGAGGTAAGCCCTCTGAGCTTTTATTTGCAGTTACTTGCATTCAAAGCTGGCGACAGTTTCGATTCAATAAAGGTCAGCAAAGGTCTTATAACTTCATTAAAATCAACTTATGGCTTACTTTGAAAACAAGCTGAGCGGCCACAAAAGTGGAGAGGAAAAACATTTTCCACTTTCACCGCAAACGAAAAAATAAAATGCGCTAATAAATGCTGCAAATGGAAAGCAAAAGCGACTACAAAATTGAAGTCAACGTTGGCACTATGCTTTTTTTTATACGTTTTCCCATCAAACCCACAAACAAAGCTGATAATGCCAACGCAACTTGCTTTAATTTTTTGTTGGTGCTGATGGTGTCGTTGTTGGAAGCCATCTCCGCTGCGAACTCGTTTTCCATGGCTTCCAACTCCAAAATCGTTTTATAAATAGAAGCCGGCGCCACTGACTGCCAGCACTTAAAACCGAAGTTTCATTGCAGCCATGTCGACGGAGTCGCCATTGCTGCCAAGCTGGCCAGGATTAACGTGTCCACACTAACACCCAAACCTTTTGCAGCTTTCAGCATATCGATGAACTGGCCCGTCAGTCGCATGCACAGAAAATCTCGTTACGCCGCACGGCCCTGGAGAGCCTGTGCCCCCCTCGTGATCCGCCTTCGTGCATGCCTGCATCCGAGCGATATCGCACCCATGACGGCACCTGCAACAACAAGCGGCGACCCCGCTGGGGCAGTGCCCAGATGCCATTTAATCGCTTTCTGCCACCCGAATATGGCGATGGAGTAGACAGCGTGCGCAGCTCCACGGACGGTAGTCCACTCTCCTCGTCGCGCTTCGTTAGTCTTTTAGTGCATGGAGCTCGAGAAGGAGAGGCTCCGCTTACCCTGATGATTGCAATGTGGGGCCAAATGCTGGACCACGATCTGACTTCCACGGCCCAGCCCCGGTAAGTCTATCAAGAATCAACATCATTTTATATTGTTATAGGAAGCGCTTAATTGGTAATCAAGGCTCGAGTCTTACAAATGATCAGGACAATAAAACTAACACTTAGGCTTTGTAATGCACTTTTTAAAGGATTCTTTTCTTACAGCTCTATCAATGGCTCCATACCCAGCTGCTGTGGAGGGAAGGACTTTCATCCTTCCTGTTTTCCAATTAAAGTGCCGCTGGACGATCCCTGGCTTGCACCCCTTAAGGTCCGTTGCTTGGAGTTTCTGCGTTCGGCCCCGGCGCAGCGGCGCGATTGCGTATTGTCCTGGCGAGAGCAAACTAATCAGGTCACTTCCTACATCGATGCTTCGCCCATTTATTCCAATAGCGCCAAGTCAGCAGACAATGCACGCGTTTTTCGTAACGGACTGCTAATCTACGGGCGAGGGAAGCCGGAGGAAGATGTTTGCCAACGTGGTGCAATCGCAACACAGTGCATTCGAGCTGGAGACGGTCGGAGTGGAGAGCAGCCCGGCTTGCTGGCTATGCACCATGTCTGGGTCGGAGAACACAATCGAATTGCAATGGAACTGAGTGAGCTTAACCCGCACTGGAGTGACGAAAAAATCTACCAGGAAGCGCGGCGCATTGTTGGCGCTATGTTTCAGCATATAACGTATCGGGAGTTTTTACCTATCATTCTGGGTCGCGAGGTTTGCAAACTGTTTGACCTAGATCTGCTCCCTAATGGCTACTACGAGGGTTACGATGCCAAAGTGAATCCGACGGTCGCCAACTCTTTTGCAGCTGCTGCTTTTCGTTTCGGGCATTCATTAGTTCAAAACTCTTACTTGCGCTGCGACCGTCATCATAATATAATCAACAATAGTGAGTTGTCTTTCTAATTTCAAAATGCAGACATAATAATTTTTCTTTAGATGTAAGTTTGCACGAGGAGTTCCAACGCGGTGACATTGGTTCCGCAGGCTCTCTGCACCGACTTTTACGAGGCCTAGCGTCACAACGAGCATTAAAGCGGGATGAGTTCATTACACCCGAGCTGACCAATCACTTGTTCCAAACACCCGGGTTTCCATTTGGCTTGGATCTAGCTGCCATCAATGTACAACGCGGTCGAGATCATGGAATCGCGCCATACACCGCATGGCGTGTTCCCTGTGGTCTGTCGCCCATCCACAGCTTCGAAGATCTGGCCAATGTGGTGGGTCCAGAATCAGCTAAGCGCATCAGTCACGCCTATCGCAGTGTGCACGACATCGATCTGTTTGTTGGCGGCATTGCGGAGCGTCCAGTAGTAGGTGGTCTGGTGGGTCCCACCTTTGCCTGCATTATTGCCCAACAATTCAGTAACTCGCGACGCGGAGATCGCTTCTGGTACGAAAACGGTGGCTTTGAGAGCTCCTTTACTCCTGCACAGCTACATTCTCTGCGACGCGTCTCGTTAGCTCAAGTTCTCTGTCGTGCTGTGGGCGGTGGAACTTTCCAACCACACATCTTCATTCCGCCCGAATTTGATGACAACGAGCGTGTCACCTGTGGCGCTGGGGTGTTGATGCCGATTGATCTCAGCCCCTGGTTAGAGCAGGATCCCTTTGCGCCACAAACACCATTCGTTACCCCGGAAATCGCAAGCAATGGCTTAGGAGTGGTACATGTTATTAAGGAGGATAAGGCGGGTTTTAGCAATCGCATCAAGCCCACAAATTCCGCGCACAATCCACACATAGCATTTACGCCTAACTCAGCGATAGGCTTCCAACGACCCAATAGTACGACGAAAATCAACGACAAACTCGACCTCAAGCGAAAAACTCAAACGACAACCGGAACGAAAAACCGACACACCACTCCGACTCGCAAGACTGGGGTTAACAACAAACTGGACAAGTCTCCTAAGAAACCGACGAACATAAGACAACCTCCTGGTACGACAACGAGAAGAACGGTAGTGATTAACAATGTGGCCATTCAGCTTCGTAGTGCTATAAGCAGTAATACCAAAGAGAACTTGACAGATTTTGGACAAACAGTTGGGTTGACTCGAAAGTCTGACAGCACTGACGAACCAGAACTTCGGAACGACGCATCAGAGTTACCTAATGAAGACGTAGAGCTAAGACTGAGCCCGCACTTTCGAAATGAGGAAGTAGAGTTACATAGTGATTTGACGACATTGAGCAGTGAGGGATCAAGTGCCGCGAATTCAACGATAAGCGATATTTTTAAGTCCACGGCCGATGAATTAAGGAACCATGAATTTAACACAACTGAACTACGACCAAATGACCCCAATAACGATGACCCTAAAGCAAACAAACCAAACAACAATGACCCTGAAGGAATTGACCACAAAACAAATGACCCGAGCAACCATGACCTTAAAGAAAACCCTCCAAAAAAGAATGACCCTAAAGATTACAACTTGAACACGAATGACCCAAAAGAAAATGAACCAAATACGAATGACTCTAAAGCAGAAAGCCCACAGACAAATGACCCGAATACGATTCAAACTGAAGTAACGGAATTAGAAGAAAAAAGACAAGAAACAAACAATTTTGTTACTACTCAGACCAACATAAAAATACTCAGGACAAAATTACAGCCCACAATAGGGAACAGCACTGACGACACTGATCAGGACATTATAGATCCTCTCAAAGAACCGACACCGGACGACCATCCGCCTCGTGTCCAACGCACGGCACGCAATTCTGGGCAATTGATAAACGACAAGGACGCAACACCCTTTGCTACAAACAAGAAGCCCGATGTCAAGCTTCTGCACTCTAATCGCAACCGTACGAGTCTCCCTGCAAGCTTCCCGCCCCCATCCGCTACCACAAAGCAAACGCGCCCCACACGCACCACCAAGGCACCTAAAGTTTCCAAAACAACTAAACGGGGAGTAGAGCTACGAAGTCAGTTCCAAAGCCGACCCATTTATACACGACCACAAAAGGTGATTGTGAACGGACCGAACGCGGATCAGTACGAAATCGAAATAAATATACGCCAGACGAACAAAAATCCCTCACCGCATCCCTTGACCTCCGAATACAATGACTATACGACCGTTTACAAGCCCTTCAGTACATATGGCAGTAGCTATGAGCCTCACTACCTCGAATATGCTACCACTACTCCTGCTTATGCCTACTATCAGTCACCGCCGACGATGTTGCCAAGCCCAGTGCAACCATACAAGACTAAACCACCGACGATTATTTATCTAAACGAACAGGACGATCGACGAACTACGACGCGACAGCCAAACATTTTCCAGAATTTTTTAACATTTGCTACAAATAGTTTTAATGGCAATCGACGGCCCACCTCACCGCCACCACCTCCTTCGGCGGCAGCGCCACATCAAGAAAGACCACATTTTGAATCCTTTGTGGTGAACAGTCCTAACAGCGGCACCTCTACCTCGCATATTCTGTCAGCCACTTCTTACGGTTCAAGACCATCATCGTTGCATACCCAAGGTCAATCACCTTTTCCTGTGTCGACCAGCTCACAGGTCGGCGTACATCCTGAGTCTGGGTTCGTCCATGCCTCCAGCAGCGCAGTTAGCGCCGGCAACTTTGGTAGCATTTCTGGGGTAGCCAGCGCCAATGGAGCGGACAGCATATTTAGCTTTAACATACGGCCGCGTCCGGACACATCTCCCGTTATTAGTTCCGTAAGCTCCTATGTGCGTCCCCAGAATGGCGGCCAATATGGACTAGCCTCGCAGCATAGGCCAGATTATCCACACAGTGATCTTTACTACGATCGTGAGCTAGGCCAAGCAAATAATCTAAGCCCCTTCTCCAACTCAGGGTCTAAGCCACAGCACACTGTGCCGTACTATGCACGAGCACCTGAGTTAAAGGAAGCCTCTAGCCCTAATGAGATGTCCAGTGTGCCGGACCATAAGCTCGACATTCGTGACTATGACTACCTGAGCCGTACGCTAGCTAATCTTACTACTGCCGAGGGTACAGCCAACGACGATTACATGTACGACGAAGACGACAGCTTGAACACAAAAATCATTTCTGACGGCCTTACCAAACAGTCAACTGATACGCTACAATCGACTAAGAAATACGAAACCGAACTGAAGTTGGCAAGCATTATTGAGGTACCGAATAACACGACGAACGTAACTCAGTTGGACGACAATTATGTATTACCCATGCTTACCACTGCTCTGCAAACCTCTCGTACCACCACCAATAGCAAAGTTACCGTGTTTCCGGACAGTTTAGGCAAACAACTGGACAATGACATACTATCCGATGACTATGAAGAACATTCGACTGACATGAAGGAGTCCTCAGCCAAACGCCCAGGCCAACCAACGAGCATAGCTTTTGCACCCATCACTCTGCTAACAAAACCAGACAGGTGAGTTGAAGCTTCATTCCAAATGGTATTCCGCCTAAAACCGTTCAATTTCAGGCCAGATAACTGGGTGATTTACAATAAGGCAAGTGAGGAACCCCCACTACCACAACCACCGGTGGTAAGCATGGACTCTCCGCCCACCGCAGAGGTGCCCATGCCCATTCAAAACCTGCATAACCTATGGCTCAAAAAGGACTTTAAGGCTATGCCAGAAACGAAAACACATTATACAACTAATATAGCGAAGAGCAGTGAAACAACCCAAACAGTAACAGCTCCCAATGGACTAACAACTGAAAGCACAACAAATGCCAAATAAACTTAAGTTATTGATTATTTATTTCTACATATATTGTAAAAATTTGTATTTAATAAACATACACAAATTTAATACAACGGTCACGTTCGGTTTTAATATGCTTTGCACCTAAAACAACAAGGCTTTCTCTGTAATTCTATAATAATTTAATTTGAACTACTGGCTAAAACTTGAATTAGGCGAATATTAAGAATTCGTTGGTATAAGCAATACTATTTGATACTTATTTGAAATTGACCATGATATTTTAATTTGGCGGTCAAGAAATGCTTAGAGTTGCCTTTCATCCTGAAATGCGTTTTATTATATTTATTATAGGGTAACACTTACTTGCTGGCGGGCTGCCACACCGTACATTGCTTAGACAAATCGTAAACAAACTTACGGCGCTGCCAGACTGCACAAGACGGCGAAGTTCATCACAGTCATTGCAGAGGCAGAGAGTGTTTAACATATTAAAGTGCAACTTATTAGATTATTAACTGAAAAAATCATTGGCAAGTCGATGTGGATGTGTGCCACCGTCGCCGTGGCTTGCCAAAAGATTTAAAACGAAGGGCACGGCACAACGACAACCGCTGCTACGTCTGCTTTTGTTGTTGTTGCGGGGTGGTAAAGTAGTTAGTAGTTTGTGTGTTTTTGAATGGCAATGGGAAGGGGAAAATCATAAGTCTGATTATTTGAGTCTGGGAGGCCATGGAGACTGAATACCAGAATTACGTGGAGTCCTTGTCGAGCGCGTCCTCTGACGACGACGATTTTTCAACGGTGGACAGTTCGGATGAGGCAGAGGAGCCCGCTTTGACTCCAACACCCAATACACACGCGCTGCAATCGCGAAATTTTGTGCAAATGCTTCACGACAGAGAAGTAAGTATTATGGACAACTATTGCGAAATGTATGAATGTAAATGCAATGACGGTTTGATTTATTACAGCGTACGGGCTTTTTCTCTGGTCGATCATGTTTGGGCCAGAAGCCTCAAATTCCATACGATAAGGTGCCAAATAGACTAAAGTTATATCTCAAGGACTTACTACCCAACAATGCACTAGAAGGGTAGGTTGGTTGCAATGTGTGTCGTAGGCTCGCTTTCATTAAATCATTGCAGGCACGTGTTTATGGGTTTGACCGCTTGTGGCCAGTATATGCTTAGCTATCGGGTGGTCTGCAATGACAACACTATGCTTAATCATTATTCCTTCAATGTGGGCTACAAGTACATGTGAGTGTGCTCTAACCGGCGAACTTCGCTCGTAGCCTTAAATCTACTGTTTATTCCCCCATAGCCTCTACTTCTGGATCTTTCAACCGCACAAAAAACTAAGGCACAGCTTTTCGCGACGTCTCTTCGATGATCATGTCGTGGACAATATAAAAACAGTGACCATGGCACAATGGAAAAATGCTGACAAGCAAATATTGTTGGTACATGGCGCTGCGATAGAGGAAAGTGAAGAAAGCTACATAACATACGTAAAAGTTCCTAAACTAGGTTGTTTAGAATGCAAGAAACTAAGAGATGACGGTCCTTGTAAGTGCAGTAACTCGAAACCACTGTTTGCTCTTCTTTTCTTCCCTTCTCACTTTTTGCTCTTTTAGATTCCTTTTACAATGCACACTGCCTGAATTGTAATCTGACGGTGCACACAAAATATTCCTCAACGGAGACAGATCCAACTTTTGAGCCGCACATAAACCTGCTCTGCCCGGAACGCATATTGATCATCTCGAATGGGTTCATGCATATGCTGCGCATTGATGTTGACACGCCGGCCGTGTCTATGGTCAGCGGTGTATTGGTGCCGCAAGAAAGTTTTTGCATACCCGGCACACCACAGACTCTGGTGCTCCCCAGGACGCCGCTGCCCCTCGATGAGGAACGAGGACCAGGCTCTGAGACGGACTCGGGCAGCAGTCAGAGTGTCGTTGCACGCATAATAGCTGATTTCAGTGACATCGAATCGGATCATAGCCAACGAAGCAACAACAACGAAGTTCAGCAAAATATCTGCTTCTCACCAAAGTCCTATGATAAGTCCATATTCACGCCCAACTACTATCATGCGACAGGCACTGGGACATCTGCGACAAATAGCATAGCTCTACCGGAAACAACTATACCGGCCTCTAAGCAGAACACATCTGTTACAGGCGAAGCCAACGGCCTAATGGTCAGTCACTCGCGTAAACGCAACGAACGCATTGTCACTAAGTCCTATCGCAGCGGCATTACTACCATAGAACTACAAGTGAGTTCAATATAATTATTCAATATTATATCTAGTTAAGTATATAGTATAAGTATAGTTTGGTTAGGAATGGTGTGTTAGTTCATTGAAAAACTGCCATAAAAATCATAATTATTAATGCCATTTCTGTATATTTACCATAGAGCGGGGCCAGTTCGAGCTCTATGTCGGATAAATCAAATGCCTATGAATTCTCCGAGGACAATGAAAAATGCGAGAAGATCTCAACGTTTCGCAAGCGCCGCCTTGCCGAGAAAAAGTACGAGTTCTCCGAGGACAACTCCGAGAACATTATTCCTTTCACAAAAATACGCTCGGCCGGTCGGACATCGGCGCCACACTTTAGCCCATCGGCTGGGAGCTCTGGCGCACGCAGCTTGCATCGCTTTTCACCTACGGCACACTTTTTTCACAACTCGCCATGCGCATCACCTTCATCATCGCCACACCCTGCACAGCCATCTCATACTCCGCCGCCACCACCACACTTGGGCTTTCGTTCTCCGCCCTCCGGTTCGAATCTAATGCGCTCGCCTAGTCGCCATGCCAACACTTCTGCAGTTGCAGTTTCCCAGATCTATAACCAGAAATCTCCGCCACTTTCGCAGGCCACACAGCAAATGCTCAGCTATAAGCCAGTCGGGCCGCTTGGCGCCCTGTCACCACTGCAGGTGTCTATGGCTAAGCGCTTCGAGATAGGCGGCTCTATGTCTCCCAATGCTGGTCTATCATTTCTTTCACCGCGTCGCGAAGAGCCGCGTATTGTGGAGGTTCCCGTCCAGGGTGGCACAATGCCTGAAAAACCAGTCTGCACAAAGAAACTGCGGCGTTTGTTTGTAGAGGAGGACGATGCCACGTCGGTGATAACCAGCGAGGAAGGTAATAAAAAAAGTTCGGCTTAATAAAATTCCGGGCTAGATTTTTTCATTCATCATTAATGGTTTTATTTATTTTATTTATTTGGTTAATTAGTTCTATGCAACGCGAACGCCAATGTTTTATATTTTATCATTTTAAACCTCTTCGCCCTTTAAGCATTTAAATTTTATTCCTGTTGACTGTTTGAGAATAGTTTTGTGCCCAAAGTTACTAAAAAAAATTGCATTGATCAAATTGAATAAAAAAAATTCGATAAAGGGCCATCATTGATTGTTAAACAGGTTACATCTTCAATGATTAATGTTATTAAATATTTAAATGAAATATTGCTGGATCCATAGACAATTTATTGCATGTCCGTCAATATTCCCAAGGGAATTCAAAGTACTTTACGAATCTGCTTATAATAGAGATTTCACTTTTTCAGACGATTGCATTTCGCCGGGCTATCATACCTCGCTGCCGATGGAGGTGCACGGATCTTGCTATTCGGAAATGCAGATGATCTCACTGGCCTCCTATCAGAGACTGCGCTGCAATAGTGTCATCATTACACAGCACTCCTTCGATCTGGAAACATTTACCTACTACGTCATAAGCATGCTGTGCCAAAAGCATCAGAAGATCTACAATGTGTTCTATGACTGGGCCTACGAGATCATCAACATGTGTCCATTAAGTCAGACCATCAGCTGCCTGCTAATGGCCCAATTCTCTGCTCGGGATCAGCTGCCTACCGCTCCCACAAAGTGTCTGCACTGCACAGGGCGGATGGATTGTGCATTTCACAATCGTCAGTATGAGAGCCGCATCCTTTTCAACTGGAACATGGAATCGGGAGTGTGGCAGGTGCTGGACTACGGCGATATGAAAGAAATACTCGCTATGGAGCCTTTCGGACCGCTTAGGCGTCTTGGCACGTCTCGATTGACGTTCGCCGAAGTCGCAAAGAAAACGGCACAGGAGCTATCAGCCAGCCTGAACAAGTTGCCAGATTATGCGTGTCATTTGCGCGTGCTTAACTCTGATATTAAGAAATCTAAGTCTTTCATTTGCGATATGGACAACATGGTGGAGTTTCACTTAAAACGTGCGCCACACACAGCTTTCTAAGCACTCAATTATCTTTTCCAATTCTTTGTACGCCAAACGCTTTTGTACAAACTATCGCCGGCCGAACGGCAAGTTCATCTAGTTCAGTTCTAAACATAACAACATGTGCTGTATTTAGTTTTTAACGGTTACATAAGTGCAACGATAAACGCTTCGGGTATAAGTTGAAATGCGTCCTAATTTCGACTGAAGTCATTTAAGTAAAATAGTTTAAATATCGTTAATCATCGTCTGCAGTTGTATTACAAATACAAAATACAAACATCAAAATGCCGACTCAAATGATTCTATTCTAATAAGGATACTTTTGATATTCGATATTTTCCATTAGACAAACACAACATACATTTACAAATATCTCCTTTATTCTAATTACATATACTATACATAACTACTAAGTACTAGTTAGCACTAGTTAACAAATTACGAATTCGTAATAAAGCGCTTGCCGAGTCTGCTTTATGGGGCAGAAGAATATACTAGCCTATAAACTATTCTAATCAAGCGTAAATATAAAACAAAATATGAGTGAGTTACTGAAAACCCTAATGATGATATTACTAAGCTGTTTTAATTCTTGACTTAAACAATACTTTTATTAAATATACAATAAAGTTCAAAAGGTACTTTTTTGTTTTATTTCGTTCACCTAACGATAAAGGAAATTAGCTGTGAAATAATTTTCTTTAACTTTAATCGCAACGATTGCTTTCATCTTAAAGCGCATATTAAATGATCCATTAATATACACATTTTTCCATATTAAAAACCCTATATTTAAATACAAACGAGTATAATTTTAAAGCCCATTCTGCCTGAGTTGTAAATACCCTGTACTCACCCTTTTTCCCGGTAAAGACGTTTACTTAAACGTTGAATCGCATTGGTTCTTAATAAGTATATTGAATACAGATAAATTATTGGGTGCCAAGTCAGGGCTATGTGGAGAGTGATCTGAGTGTTGGCGATAGGTTTTCCTCAATTATCCGATAATTCTAGCAACCAAATGGTTGTGAGCCATTCAGAACCTACCGTACTACCTTTCCAAATGTTCAATCACGACATCGGCATATTTTCCTTGAAAGTGCTTCGCCTAGGAACACTTTTTGTAGATTTTGGCTTATTATAGTCGATTGCTGGCTGACCACAATCTTGGTCCTGGCGAAGAGTACAGCTTCATCGCCAAAATCAATTTCACAACGTCGAAAGTGGTAAAAAAAAATCCGAAGTCCTGTCCTTAATTTTGATATTCCATTCATTTCGAATGTAGATTGCGTTAAAAATTGTAAATAATACACATTGTTCATTTTGAGATCGCTATTATATCAGATTTAATTAATTATTAACCTGTATTAGGGTGTTCTGTTTCTCTACAAATTGTATGTCGGGGATGTTGATTCCTCTGTTATTTTAGGCCGTATTAATTTTTCGGTACCTTGCAGACCAAACAAGGATTATTATATTTTGTCTCTTCTGCACAATTCTTTTTAAGTATTATGCACTAATTTTAATGCATTGTATTTTTTTGCTCTCAAGTGCGCTCTCCCACCCCTCACATAAATCTTATATTTTCATCTACCTCCGCGAGAATCATTATTACCATGACTGTATGTTGGGGCTTTGCTGGCCGGACTGGCAAACAAACTTCCCCCTTTGGGTCTTACACTAAATGATGAATTGAATTAATAAATTTAAACATACTTTACGAGTTCTTACTTTCACTTTTGCAGTGGTTTTTCTTGCTTCTTCCTATTTTTGTTTCGTTACTTCTAATAACGTGTCTGACCATTCTGTGCTGGGAATCGGGGCATAGCTGGCCGCTGGGCAAACAAATTTATCCCATCGCGCCGGTTTCGTTATTAAATCTTATTGTAACTTTAAAAGCTTTCCCTTCCGACTTTTAATTGTATTCCTTAAGTTGTCTTTTGTATTGTTTTTATGCTTTCATCGACAGCTTTGATTGTCGATAAATAAATTAAGACGAGTGTACAGTTTAGTTTAAGTTTTGTGGTAAATCTCTTTCAAAATGTTCCTCAATTTGGCTAGATAAGAAAATTTACAACAAGGTGGGTATAACAGCAACAAAAAAAGAAAAGCTATTCTACTCCATTCTATTCTTAGTATTTAGTATTATTCTTAGTAAGTATTTCGAATAAATATTTCAATAAAAAATCGCGGTATTTTTTTAAAGTTTAATGTTTTTATTGAAAAAATGCTCCACTCCATTTTCGCCTAATTTTCTACACAATATTTTGTTTGTTTTGTTTTGCTCCGATTTTGTTTTACAATAATATATATATTTTTATAATATAATAATAATAATTACACTCAGTTACACAATTATACTGCTCCATAAAAATGGCTTCTACGCATACAAAATGTATTGCAATTGCATATATACCTACATACTCGTACAAGTCAGTAGAACCTAGAGTGGGACTTACAGTCTACTTTGTTTTTGCTCAACAAGTTCGCCTTCCAACGCTCGTTTCAATTTCGGATGTGTGTGTGTGTGTGTATGTGTGTGTGTATGTCTAAACTTTTGTACATATGTACATACAAAGTACATAATATATATTGTAGGTGTAAGTGTATGACTGGCATATAGAGTGGATATTAAGCGGATGCTCTTGAATGTATATGTAGTTCCTTGTAGTTTAGCGAGTTGCACAATTTATTTAGAATAAATTAATGAAACATGTTATCAGTTTTTGGCTAATGCCCAAAATCGGTTAACGATCTATTTTTGTGGGTGATTTTCGTTTTGTTTGGTTTTCGGTTTATTGTTTGAAACGCGGCATCAAACGCTGAATGCTTTGTTATTTGTATTTTTTTCCTTTTTCTCGTTTAATAATAATAACTTAAATAGTTGCTGTTGACTGACTATTTTGCTGACTTTTAACAATTACTGCACCTTAAATTATTCATTATTTTATTTGATTTTTATTTATTTTTTTTTGTTTTAATTTTTTTTGCTTTATACATTTACAAAACTTTTGTGACCCCTCAGTGCGCCATCGAATTTTTGTATATATTTGTAATTTATTATATTTCTTGTTATATAAATTAAATTCTAGTCTTAAATAGTTTATTTCCATGTTCACACACAATTAAAGATAATAATCATTACTTTAGTTTATAAACTGCTTACGCTTGCTTATTGTTTTTGTTTGTGTTTCTGTTTTGTTTCTTTTTTTGTTGTGTTTTTTTACAATTCGCCTTAAAAGTTTTACGCTTTGTACAACTAAAGTAGATAAAAAGAAAAAGCAACGAAAATGAACGGACAATTTATATATGTAGTATGTATGTATATATATATATATATATATATATATATATATATATACGTAATGTGTGTATGTATGTATATATAGCAATTGCTTTAGTTCTCTTTATGTATATTTGTATGTACGAACTTTATAGACCGCTTGCTGCAAAAAATATTTATCAGTAACAATATGCCCCTTAGTTTAGTTGACGCTTAGGCGCTTACTTTGCTCTTTACTTAACATTTGTATCATCAATTTTTTTAAATTATACAATTACTTTACGCTTTAGTAATAATTTTTGTTTTTCTTGTTTGTTGGTTTTCTTTTGTTTTTTAACTAAAAGTTATTTGAATGTCAATACAATTTCCAAAATGTACGTGTGTGTATGTGTGTGCGAGTGAATTTGTATTCGCTTGTATGGATGTGAATGCAACTCTGCACTCTGTATAAGAGAGTGCGAGAGTGTGCCCTCGTATGTGGTGGTGTGGTGTGGTGTGGTGTGGGGTGTGGTGGATTTATTGTGTGTTCATGACTTTAGAGCTCGACTAAACTTGTGGCGCTCCACTTATCGCTACAACTTCTATGTCCTAAGCTGAATGTGGCGTCGCCCCGCTTTGCCCCGATATTATTTCTGTATCTTCCGCTGCGTCAGCTCCTGTGCCACATCGTCCAGCAGCTTGGTGGCATGTCCATTCCCGTATCCATTCGTCAGCAGCACGCCGTTCGTTTTGTGCGCGTTGCCATTAGCGGCGGCATTGCCGTTGGCCAATTGTTTATAGCCGTTCTTCAGGCCATTCACATGGCCATTGGCGGCACCATTGGTAGCAGACTTCGTTTTTGCTGCCGCCGTTGTTGCTGCCTCCTGTGGCACGGGTTGTGGCATGGCGAGATCATCGTGCGCTGTGATGCTCTTGCAAAAGCCATTGGAAAGGGCCAGACCATTGGCGATGAGCGCCGCCTTGGCTTTCTATAAAGAAATTGTCACAAAAAGAGTTAATTATTACATTACGAAACTTTTCCTAGATTTCTGTCAAAAATGTGTGCATTAAATGGACAAAATAAAGGTATCTGGTGATACTATTAATTGCCTCTAACTAGACTGTATCCCTATTTGGCAGCTAAGGATTAATATACGATAAGAAAGGTGAAAACAAACGAATTATTTATGGCAGCCATGTTTACTTAACGTAATGCAATATTGGTTGTACAATTTATAATTCATTTAAATTGAATGCTTTTACGCTAAATTTACATCCAATATCTTTTACAATCATTTTTATTAATGGTATGCCCATTTAATATTATATGTTCATATATTATCATTCATTTACTTTTGTTTATACATAATTATTTATAAAAAAATAAAAATAACGAAGAACCAACACTTATTAATCTAATCTTTTTTCAGTATTTAGATTTATTCAATTCATCAAATACTTGTAAATAGTTGTTCCTCATTTACTGTAAATTACTTTCGTTTAACAAATGAAATGATCAGTAAAAGATATATATTTTGCACAAAATAGTTGCTATCGTCATTTAAAATATGCAATGCGAACAGTAAAATAGTTGTTCTGTTTAATTAGAGTAAAAACATTGATTAATTTCAAACAGAAAATTACCAAAAACAAGTATGTATGTATTATTATTGTATGTTAAGAGCTAATCCTACGAGCTTTTATTTCATGATATGGAAATATTTATTAATACACTACTAGCGGTATTTGCCAAGTTTTCGGTTAATTTTGAGACGTGTTTGTGAACAGCAATTGTTATCAAAATGTCGATTATTGTCGCGATAGCGGTAACATTTTATGTTTCCAATAAAAAGCAATTTGTTATACAGTGAAAACTCCCCTAATGGACACCTCTTCTATCCGGACACTCTCTTCGGCGGACACTTTTTCGATCGGTGTATAAAGTATTTAAGTATCCCCTTAAGCGGACACTCCCCTTGGGCGTACAAAAACTGAATATTGTTTATTTCTTTATACTTTATACAAAACACAATTATAAAACAATTACAAAATAAAAATAAATAGTACTTTATGGCAAGAGTAAAGGCATACTTATATGTACTCTTAAAATGTGGCCACACGAAACAGAAGGGGAAAATTTACAGTTTTCGAAATGGTGTTTTGTCAGCAGTTTAGTTGCGTTTATGCTGCGTACTGATACAGAAAGTTCTACATGGAATTTTGCAGGTAACGGGAGCAATACGAATCTAAATTTAAATTGTTTGTGTAAATTGCGTTGAACTACGTACTTTACAAGTACAAGTATAAGAACAAAAAACTTTTTTTTTATTGTGGCTTGCTCTGGCGTCGGACGTATTACTGGGTGGTCTAATCGGGTAATAACCTAATAAACACCTGTACACACATGTTTGTACATATTTGAAGAATTACAAGCCGATAAGTAAGGTCACAGTGGCACCGGTGCGTATGCGTGATGCATGCTAAATACACTCGTAAACTATATTACCGAGCAGATAGAGACTTTTATAGCGACATTTTACATTTATCGCATAATTTCATGCGCGCACCAAACACAATGAACAAGAAAAAATAAAGAGTATAAAAAATATTATGCAATGTCTGCGCCGCTTTGTCTGTGCTCGTATTTTTTTCTCGTTAAACTTTCACTTGTTTTCGGCGACCACGGATGCTGCGGGCCTCGAGTCTCTCAGGTCTCAGTCGCCCAAATAAACGTCGACGTCGACTTTGGTTTCAGCTTCAGTTTCGGCTTTAACGCTTTTGTACCGTTGCTTTTGGCCAGTCTTTCGTGCGCAAGGCGGCTAAGCGGGACCTAAATTCCCAGAGACCTACTTGACGAAATCTTGTTAATGAATTTGGTCCACAAATATGCAATAGGCGGCTGGCCACAAGGTGCAGCAGCGCTGCTTGCTGCTTGCTGCCCGCTCCCCGTTCCCCGTTCCCCGCTGCCATCCCCGCTCTCCCCACTGCATGGTGATGATGTAAGCGCGGCTCGCGCGACTTTGACTGAGTTTTCGTTTTCATTAACACAGACCGGAATTTTGGTTGATGTCGAGTCGTCGCTCTGGCTGGGACGAATTATCGTGTTGCTGTTGTTGGTGGTGTTGGTGTCTTTAAAATGTCATTTAACGGTGCTTTTGTCTTTTCGCAGCCAGCAACCACATTAGGCCGCACAGCACAACCAAAACGCAACGTGGGAAGAGACGAAGAGCGCGGCACACATTTCTTACAAACGCACTAATAATGGAGGGAGCGCCGAAGCTTTTTTACTCGGACTTTATGCTATAAACCTAATGGCCATAATAATTCGCGCAATAAAATCCCTTGCCTCTGCACAATTCACATGAGAAATGAGGCCTACTAAGCACTCGTCATTTCCTATACGTTTTCAAAGTTTTTATGGTCGTAGTAGGTGTGCGGTTATATGATCACTTGAGTTAATAATACTGCACAGATCGGTCACTATTTTGAATCTAAGAGATCTAGTAGCTTGAATTCTAATTGGTATGGTTTCACTTACGTTGCGGCGATTCTTGTAGGCTGCTTTGTAGAACTCGTTGAAGAGGAAAAAGAACATGACGGCATGCATGCCGATCCACCAGACGAACGCCTTCGGGTAATTGCAGTCAATGAAGAGCAATTGGAAGGCATGCACCATGATCAAAATGAATTGAACCTGCAAGGATACGTTAGAAGCGACTCCGAGCACTCGAAGAGCCAACTACCCACCATTTGGAGCGTGGTCAGGTACTTCTTCCACCACAGATATTTCTGGTACTGTGGGCCCATGGCCGAGAACATATAATAGGTGTACATGACAATGTGTACGAATGTATTGAGCAGGCCAAAGAAAGTGCTGTGTCCACCTAGATACGCACAGTAAATGACATCAAATAAGTAACGGAACGTAATTTTACAATACGTATCATCTATAGTGGCAAGAAAGTTGCTTGTCATACACACCTGGCGTGAATTTAACACCAAACCACACCGACATTGGCATGCAGCCGTGGTGTATGACGTGCAGAGTTGTTACCTGGCTGGTCTTCTTGCGCAAGACGAAGAAAATCTGCAGAAGCGAGAAGAAAATGATTTATGGTAACGAAGCTGGCAATCATTGGTTACGTCGTCAATGACGGCCATGTTGGCGACGTCGCCTTCATATGTATGTAGTTGTACAGTGGCGGGGGACTTACCGTGTCCATGAACTCTGTGAATTTGGAGAAGTAATACCACCAGCACGCATGGACCATCTATTTGTAGGGCGGCAACAGAGAAAGGCTTGTGTTAGTTTAGCTTTTAAATATCACTTACATTGTCTATTAATCTCTTCAATGTGCTTTTCAATACCCTACCCCAGATGGGTAACTAACAAATGTTGCAATTCTTATCAATATTCAGTAACTAATGGACATTTATAAGTAAATGTCTGGGATAAAACGGAAAAGTTTCGCTAATGATAAGTAGGTCTAAGCATTTCCTATTACTCCTTAGCTTAACTTAGTCTAATTATTATCGTGCAGTTTAAAATTTCTAGCATAAAGTCTGACGGAGTAAAAGCAAAAGCAAATCAACATTTTCCCTCTAAATATCCCACGATTTTTTGAGATAATGTAATCGCAGTCGGGTCTTCTTTCCAATCAATTGAACTCTCGGGAGTCATTTATAGCTGCTTAACTTTTCTACAAGTAAAAAAATATGGCGGATCAGTAAATGCACTTTTTTTGTAAGCCTAAATCTAGGCGTTTATTTTAAGCTATTATGCCTGATCCGTATTATAATCTATTATATTATCTACTTGTATTATAACTTTTGTGCACCTAAAATAGGTATCTTCTACAATGATCTTGAACTGGGTAGGGTATCAAAAAATATCGACCAAGTCGATAAGTATGTTTTCATTCCAAACACACACGCGCGCACACACACAAGTATGCTTTAGTTCTTTAAATTAATCGGTTAAAATAAAATTATCATTAAACTGGATTTGTTTATTCATGCATACGCTCGGGTGTTTTGGGTTTGAATTAGATCGGCGCAATCAAATTAATTTGTCATTGTTTATCATAGCAGTCATATAGTAGATCGGGTAATGCAGTTCAAAAGGAACGAGAGTGTTGGGGGTACATTCAATTAATTGATTAAAGGTTCAAAAATCAAACTGTGGCCATTGCCTCAATTATTGGTATACTGTACTTATACTATATATATAGATTTGCAGACAGTTTTGAGAGGGCAAAATACAAGGAGAGAGAATGTTGCGCTAGAGTGCCTAAGGGGTGACTAAGTTGTGCTAAATGGATAATATGGGGAATACATACAGAGTATACAGTATACGCAGAGTATGTAACTAATATCGGGGCCTCTTATGCATTTAGTGACAGTTGAACGATGACAGTTACGAGTATAGTAGACGGCATACACATGCTGAGTTCTTCGAGTGGGATTATTAGCGTTAGTTTTCGTAAGTTAGAGGTTTACTTATTAAATAATATGCGTTAAAGCCCGTACACCCCTTACGTAAAAAGAAATAACAGTAATAATTATGTAGCCAATTTGAAAATTATACAAGAAATGTGTTTTTTTTTTCATTATTTTTCAACCATACCCCACGCCATTAAGAGCTTTAAAACCAATTGCATACACACACATACACACATACAACCAAAGCCAGTTAATCGAACAAAATACAAGAGTGTGAGGAGATAGAGAAAGAAAGAGAGAGGAAAGGAGAATGCTTTTTGCTGGCGTTTCGTTGTCAATTATCATTCATGTTGTTGCTGTTTGTTGGGGTTGTTGTTGCAGTGGTCGCTGAGGTTAACACATACCCTTAAGGTTCTAGGATTATTACTATAGTCAACTGGCTGGCATCGAAAGCTATAATGTCCTGTTAGCCAACCGGAAACGCCTATCTGTAAATGTAGAGTATAAGAATTTATAGTTGAGGGGCGAGTTGAGGGGCGAGGCGAGGAAAGGCGTGAGTTGTAGTTGTAGAATAGGAGATGATGTGCGTTCGATGATGCTGTCGGCTGCTCTGCTTCCAAGGTTTGCGCTGCTGTAAAGAGTTTTACTCACAAACACTTACACACACACACGCACACACACATTATGGTACTTACTTAACACACTCACATACACAAGCGGACACACACACATAGAGTCACATACAAATAACGCCATTGGCTATTTACATATGTATGTGTATGTTGTATGTTGTAGTAGTACTTAGTTTTTTTTTGTTGTTGTTTTTGTTTTTGTTTTTGAAGTTGTTGCTTATTTTTCAGTGTTAGTAAACAGCGTTGGCGGGCGTTGAATTAATAATTAATAAAATACAACTAATAAAGCGTAACTTAGATTAATCAAAGCGATAATTTTGTTGTGACTTAGACTCTAATGTACGAGTATGTATGTTAGGTAAAATTAATTACCAATTTCTCTGGCATTTATATACAAGTGCGAGTAAATGGCAATTGTTTTTTAATGATGCTATTGGACACAACTGATGCCGCGAGTTCGGCGTGTAAATTTATTTAATACTAGCTGTTGGTATTAGTCGTTGTTGTTTTTTTTTTTTTTTTCTTTGCTAAGCGAATCTTAAAACCAGCAACACGTTTTCTCTGGACGTGTAGTTAAATAAATTTAAATATGTATATTACAAATAAAAATAAGTTATTTATATAATAATTTTATATGTGAGAAAGCTTTGCTTGTTAATCTTCACCTGCGCACAAGAATCTTTATAAATTCAAAATTTTTATGGGTATTTTCTTAAACGTTCATTCCGCTTGAGCTTATTATAAATTTTCACAAAACAACTTTGTTTACTTTTTTGCAATATTGAGGTAAAACACTAAAATTACTACAAATGTAGAATAAAGCCCATGCAAATACTATATGGGCTTCTCGATAATCTCAAAGATCACCCGAATCTCCTGGACAACAAGCTTTACTTGATCATGATCTGCTTTTAAGAAAATTTGTAGCACTCAAAAGAAGATTTAAGCAAAGATTACAAATATTAACCAAATCGGAGATACTTTAAATGAAGGGTAAAGTAAAACAAGTTACCTACCAAGTTATATTAATAGGTCCGTATTATAAAAATGATTGTTTTTTAAATTGAAGAATCCATTTTAAAGTGGTGGACTCAGATTAACGTTTATTCAGGTTTTAAATAAAGATGTCGGACTCTCAATAAAGCCATTTCGAACTTGAATAAGGCATATACATATGTACTATATATGCAAATACATTTGTATGTTTTTGGATCGTAGGTCCTGATGTATTCACAGATAAGTTGATTGGGTAACTATTTGCGAAAATTACGCTCAGTTTGTTTTCAAATAATATAGAAGTCTTGAATTTGTTGCGCTTCTTTTGGTTATCTTGTCTTCAGCAGTTTCAACGTTTAAGAGAATACCCTTAATATTTGACTTCATAAATCAAACAAAAGTGTATGCTAGTAACTGCTGTCGGTTTGTTGTGGTCCCTATTGGACGAGCTTTGAAGTTAGGAGAGATGGGCGTATGCATCGTAGTTTCTTGACTAACAGCGTAGGCAGGGATCGCGAAAAGGATTCGCGAGTTTCTTCTTTGAGGGTCTTTCAATATTCCACGAAACTCTCTTTTCAGAATTGTTCAATACATTTAACGCTATAGTTACTAAGTAGGTAAAGCCTTTAGGCGACACTTACTCTCCTGGACGTGGCACTATCAGTGTAGTCCACTGGTTGGCAGCGAAAACTATATGAACCCCACCAGCCGCCCATTAAACACTAAAATAAATGAAATTATCGCAAGAACAAAACAAAGAAAATATTTAAAGCAAATGAATAATTGTAAAAAAAGAAAAACAAAACACAACATAACGCGCCATGCTGTGCTGTAACAAAAAATTTCCATGTTGCAGTTGATTTTATTGTTGTTGCAAGCAGCCAAAGCGACGACAGGAACGACATCGAAGAAGACGCGATGAGTTGAATATATGTGGGGTTTGTGGTGCGGTTTTTGTTGTTCTTGTTGTAGTTGTAGTCTGTAACCTACCTCATAAAACAGCCACGCGCTAAATACCACCTGTATCGCATTATAGGCAACAAGCGTATTCTGTAGATTCAGCGGCTTTCGATTCTCCATTAATCGCGGGCCCAGCACCTAGAAAGAGAGTGTAAAATACATATGTATTAGCAACCGATTTATGTCAATGAGCTTCGTTTTTCTGCAAGACTGATACGCAAAATATGGTCAAGTTACTTATAAAAAAAGCTTCTTTATGCATAATTGTTGCTCCTACATTAAATGTCAATATTTTCTCCGTTCATAGAGATTTAGCAAACGATTAATTGTAAATTACAGAATTTAAAAAATATGTACATAGTATTTTAATAAGTATTAATATATAATTTTTAATTATATTAATATTACGAATACCGAAATTGTTGGTGAAATAATTTAGTTTTTTTTATAGAACGAGTGGCAGTTTTGTTTAAATTATATTTATTTTTAAAGTCTGAATATAACTTTTAACACAGCTTATTATTTTATTTGAAACATCTTCATTCAAATGACAAAACAACAAAAGTAAATAATGCACAGGCATGAAATATAATTAGCTAGTAATATATATTGTTCATTCTATTGTTTTTAGTTCCTAGTTTCCTCAATGTTATATCATAAATATTAAAATATTTAACTATAAAAAATTTTCGAAAATGTATTAAAATATATTTGTATCCTATTTGTTCCACTATTTGTTTGAAATGTAAACCATACTACTTATATTCATCATTCGATATTTTGGTATTTCCAAATGAATATGACTGAGGATAATACAGTTTTATGATTCATTGTCGTAGAATTGTCGAAACAACATTAGTATTCCTCACGTACTTTTGTAAATGCCTCTGGCATAGCCATTCTTTCTGTTTTACTCATGGCTGGGCATTATCTATCGTATCGCACTGATTAGACAGTACCGTATCATAGAATTGTGGAAAAACAAAATCCACCACATGATTAAAAATGCTATACATGTGTCATAAATAAAAGTTGCTCAACCCGGCGCAGGGCAGACGAGCGATGGAGCGGGGCGCTCCGGGTTCTTGCTTATCAGAGCCGTCCGGCAACAATTGAGAAAGCGCCGCCCCCAACGCTTGCTAAGCAAGAAGACTTGAACACATTTGAGATCTTGGGGATTGATAGCGCGGGGCAAATCAATGCAATATACATACATATTTGTACATATGTATATATGTATTTCAACAGGTCTACATATGTTCAAGCCAGACGGCTTAAGATTAGCTTAACATCTGGCGACCGGTACACGTACGATTGATTATGGCCGTTTTGTAGATTAAACGAAACGAATGGTGGTAGTTAACTTACCTTGACAAGGTAGACATATGTGAGGCAAGCGGCCAGTGTGGGAAAAGGTGATGACATCATGGGCCAATCCTTCGTCCTTGAATCTGTGAATGAGACACAAAAGGTAAATAGTTTAGCAAATGTTTGGCCAATGTCAATTGCTGCTGTCGACGCTTCTTCTGTTGCTGCTGCTGTTGACTTACATAACAACAGTTACAAGTGTCTGTCTAACAGCTATGTATGCATTCATGTGTATGTAGATAAAAAACAAATACACAAACACACAAACACAAGCATACGCACGCACATGCCTTTGCAAAGCTCTTATCATTCTCTCATCATTAGCATTGGCAATGCTTGTCGCCTCATCGCACGTTCGAGGCACATTTTTATGTTTGTGTTAGACATCTCTGTGTATACAGACATCTGGCAATGTCGCCAACACAATGATGAGGTTGTTGTTGTTGCTAATGACAACGTTTGTGTTGGCGGTGATGATGATATTGATAATGACCGCTTTAAGTTTCAGCACGTGCAGTGTACGCCGCTTAATTTTTATTAATTGATTGAAATTCCTACACAAATACTAAAAAGTAAGCCTGTACATACATATATGTACATATACTAGGTACATACACATATGTATATTTAAAAAAAAAAACCATAAGCAACTGTCTGTCAAACCCCATTTGTCTGTATCTTCATCTGCATGGCACATTTCGACTTCATTTCGCATTCAAATCAGTGCTAAATGTCATAACTTTTTGTTATTTCTTCGTACATTTATTTATGCATAACTTATGCAACAGCATACATATACAAATACTATAGTGGAATTGCCCAAACACTCACACTCATGCACACTATTAATAATAGTATTAATAATAATACAAAATAAACCAATTTTTCTCCACGTTTCTGTTAAGTGGCATACGAAATCGCGAAATACGAGTATGTATTTCAAAGATAAGCAATATGCAGCGTGAAGCAGTTAGTGACTTTCAACAAATGGATTAACGAAATGGCGAAAAACAATTGAAATTGAATGCAATCAGTGCTTGGGTTCTGATTGATAACATTCATCGCCCTAGAAAACTTTATGAAAAGGGACTCAATCCTGCTAAGTGGTAAGGCCCTTCAGACTCTCTAAGTCTGTCGCAATAATTAAATCAAAAACCATTTCAGCTCTCTAACGATTTGCAAAAGTCTGCCTTATCTGCAGTTTGGCTACGAACCTATTACTACAATTCCAAGATCAACCTCTTAAGCAATGTAGCGAATGACTGACAGTCTTTGAAGGTGATTCCAATAGAATCGCATTTAAATATAAGAACTTGTTGATGTTATTGTTAATTTCAATGAGGATTGTTTACACAAGGCCACATTTACGCACCCCAACTTTGTTGTACCAAACATTCCTATGTTTTTGTAATGAAAGTGAGGAACCATAAAAACTGAATAAATCCAATATTGTACTAAGATTTAGAATAAAGAGTTATTTTTTAGTGCGCCCATTTAATGAAACATCAGATCAGTATAAACAATCCAAACTAGTTTCCGGGATTCATGCGGCAAGAAAGAAAGAAAATAATTAAAGAAGAAAAAGAAAAATTCTGACTTGAAAAATACTTAAAAATAAGTAAGTTTCTGCGGAACAGCCCTCTAATTATCTATGAGATGTCACTATTTGACAGAAAGTCTACAATAATTTTAGTAGACATGAAAGAGCAAAGAGAAAACATGCATACACTATATGTAAGTAGTTCTCAGATGTCGTGCCTATAAAATAAAGCACCGGCAATTTATGGTCAACGCTTGACTTCCGATATACGAGTCTTACATGTGCGTGCCCCCACAACAAACACACTCACAAACATAAGTATATAGGTATTTGTTAGATGTGTAAATACACAAATGCGTATACCTATGATTATCACACAGAAGCGTGTTGAAACATAGTTTTAACACGTCCCATGTAGTCAGCTGAAAATTGCTTAACATTTGTCAAAGGGGAACATATTTTCTTCCTTCCCAATACATACACGCCATAATAAATTAAATAAATAAATGTGTTATGTGCCTATGCATGTATGTTTTCGGACATATTCCAAAAAGCGCGCAATGCACAGCACGTGAATGGAGGAAAAATAACAGAGCAACATAATGCCATAGAAGAATAACAGAACAACATGGAAATAGCCCTCGTTTTTATTTATTTATTTATTTTTTCTGAGACTATTTTTGTCTAGAAGCTTGAGCGGGCTCATAGCTGGTTGGTTGTTGGCTACACGCGAAATCTTAAGTAGCCCTGGCTGTAGCATTAGCCTTAGCATTCACCCCAAAAGTATTGGATATTGTGAGCAATTAGTGCGATGGTGTCAAAAATTACTCAATAATTTTGTAAAGGTTTGCCGTTTTGCAGAGAAATGTGAGAAAGATGAGCGCGGCAGCAACAAGAAAAACACACGAAACGACCGCCAACACTCGAAAATATAAAAATAATGCGTTTCAAGGTTAGACAAATTAGCAGGTATACGTAGACATAGCCAACACCAGCACAGCACTACAGCGACTGTGCCACGGGCGCAATGAACACCCTATGCCTATCTCGTACTGTCTGATTTGTTTTAAAGGAATAAACAAATATACTAGGACCGATTTGGCTTTTAGGGATCGCTTATAGGTTTCACAACTTTTTCCTTTTGCAAAAATGAACAAATAAATCAATTTAAGGAAAACATAAGTTTAATTTAAGATAAATAAAAATAAAATGAGATCATAAAGCACACAAGTTAAGATAACAAATAAAAATACTTTAATAAGAAATAATAAACGAACCATCGAATATTTAAAAGTTAAGTCCATTAGTACTTTTTCTATTTTAATTATCCAGCTTCACACCAAATATTGTCGATATATGTTTAAAAAAATAATCAAAACGATTTTATCAAAAAGGCTTGGAAAAATATTGCATATTAGTAGCCAATGAGTCTGTGTTATAATTTCAAGACAATATGGGAAATGTTTCTTTTTACTAAATATACTATACAGTAGCTTGTAGAGTATTCATAATATGTGATCTACATGTGTTATCTAATTTATCAATCAAGATTATTAATTAATACAGCAAACTCTTTGAAACACTGGATACAGCTAAGAATTAAAATGGTTTTCCTCTTCCACATACTATACAAGTATATATTTTCAAATTTTTTTTCAACAACAGAAAAATATTTTAATATGAAATAATAAACGAATGATACTTGAACGATCGAATAATTCAAAGTGAAGTCTATTAGTACTTCACAATAAGTTGTACTTTCTATTTTAATTATCCAGCTTATCTATAAATATTGTCAATCAATTTTAAAAAAATTATTGAACACGATTTTATCAAAAATTCTTGGGGAAATATTGCATATTGGTACCCAATGAATCTATGTTATAATTTCAAGACAGCATGGGAAATGTTTCTTTTTATTTACTAAATAGCTTTGCTAGCTTTTAGAGTATGTAAACCTACAATTTTATCTGTGATCTAATCATTTTTTATTACACCATACTGTTTCAAAAACACTGGATACAGTTAAGAATTAAAATGGTTTTACTCTTCCGCAAACATACTGTACTATACATTTTCAGACTTTTTTTTTCAAATTTGAAAATATTTCTATCACACACCAAAAACTATTGTTATCCATCGATACAAAACAGATAGATGTGATTGGGATCTCATGGGTGAACGGAAGGATATTAGTGCAATGTCATATGCTAACTATATTTGTTGCACTGGATGGTCGTGCTACTTAATAAATTAAAATACCGGGAAATCTCTGAACCGGTTTGGGAAGATTTATAGCCAGTCAGCTCGTTAAGCTATGCCAGCTTGAATTGCTATCTCGAAAAGATTTTGTGATCTATCGTTAAAGAATATGATATTCCAGAGCTCTGGACTCATCGATACAGTAGATAATAACTGAGGATTACTTACCACCATGTGAGTCCATATATCTGTTAATGCTGTCGATGCATTTCATAATTAAGGCCATTGTGTTGCTCTGTGTGTGTTTGTGTGTGCAAGTGCTGTTGGTTGCCTGTAAGTCGTTGGTTTGTGTCTCTGCTAACTAATTTATGCTTCTAGCTTCTTCTTCTCTGTTGAGCGTGATCTTCTGGGCGATTATTCTATGCACAAATTGGTAAGCTGTAAGAAAGAGAGGGAGAGAGAAAAGATGTGTAAATAAATTATTAAACATATTTAGGGCTGAAATTGTTTATTTATAAATTTGAATGCTCTCCACGGTTCTTAACTCTCTGGCACGTGCTTTTCTCAGCACTTATTTTTACGTCCACAAACACATTCTAAGAATTTGGCAATATGGATCTGCTTGCCCTGGTCCGTTGCAATTAAATTTAAATTATAGACGGCCGCTTATCAGCGACGCCGGCAAACGAATTAACGGCTTGGTAACGCACCAGAAATGAGGTTGATAAACTGCACACGCACACACACTTAAATATACAGATACATACATAGTATGAATATTAATACGTGTGTATGTATATTGGAAGCATTGCAAAAGCGTCGAGTCGGCATTCGATCGGCATATTTACACTTTGGTTTACACATACATATAAAGTTTGGGTTCTTTTTGATTAACGGCTCTAGCTAATATTTTTTACTTTGTTTTGGTGCCCTACGATAAGCGCAGACTTTGCACTCGCCATATCATAGAAATGTGCACCTAAATAGTATGTACATATATGTATGTATATTTACATAATTATGTGTATCAAACCTAGATAAGCACATGTGGCATATGGTCAGAGGCGAATCGATAAATTGGCTGCTAATCAACCGAGCACGTCAGCAATGTACCAAGCGCCGTACCAGCAACTATTCGGCCAAAGGTTCAAGGGCGCCAAATTCAAACCAACTGCCAAACTAACAAACAGCCAAACAGAAAGACCGACACGCGAACACTCTCACAACTCTCACAAATGCACGGCCAGCGTCCAAAGCAAACTAATTTTGGGCCAAGCGCAAATGCGAAATGCAAAAGCGCAACAGTCGCTGACGAAGCAGTAAGTGCGACATCTAAATACATGTATATGTACGTGCATATATATATATATATATGTATGTATGTACATGCAGACATACATATGTACAGAGGTGTAGGCTTGTGTGTGGCGTGGGTGTACGTAGTCAACCTATTGAGCAATCAGACTTAGTGGGGAACCCACAAACCCCGTAAAGGCACGGCAATTTTAAATTGTTGGCCAAAAAAGCCCAGCACTTTACACGAGCAGACAAATCCGATGAGTATACATGCATGTGCGTGTGTGAGTTATGAGATATGTTCATACGTACATACATACGTATGTACATTAGGGACACGAGCTTGAAAATATAAAGTATCTGAGTCAAGTCATCAAAGAATTGTCTTAACCACATAACACTCCTGCATTCTAGGAAAATCCTTTTTGTATACAAAATGCTGCAAGCATCGATCGCCTGGCCTAATATTTAGCCTGAACACTTATTTTTCGTCAGAGACCCCAAAAATTAGATTCTCAGACTCCAATTACTGGACCGTTTCCTATTAAAAAGAGTGCTCAAATTCCAAAAAATAAAAAAAATCGTCCTTTCTCGGACCTAGGAGAATCGGGATGCCAACTTTGGTTATTCTAGCTTTTATAGTTTCTGAGATCCTCGCGTTCATCCAGACGGACAGACGGACGGACGGACGGACATGTCTAGATCGATTTCTCTCGTCATGCTGATCAAGAATATATATACTTTATGGGGTCGGAGATGCTTCCTTCTGTATGTTACATACTTTGCACAAACCTAATATACCCTTTTTACCCTACGGGTACAGGGTATAAAAACAGTTAAAGGGCCAAATACATATAGAATTAAATAAAGGAATTAATTTAATTGAAATCATTCCTTGCTGAACAGAGAAATGAAATAAAGCATATCAAAAGACCCTACTAATCGACGGTAAGTGTTCTAATCTATATAATAAAAAACTATAAAAAAAATCTATTAAAAACCGTATATACTTTTGTTAAATATTGCAATTAACAGGATACGATCTATATCAACATATCAGGTTTCCTATAAATAAACATGAACTTTGCATCGCTTGCTTTGCGTTTAGACCTAAGACCTATTGATTACATATTGTTAGCATCAATAATTTGTCACGCGCTCATCACTAACTCGCATCGCTACGTTGACCCGCATACTATTGGGCCGCGGCTATAATACAAACATTTATAAATAAAAATCTTAACATTTCTCTGTGATATCCGCAACAATTGTTGACGTCACTGCCACACACTCCCGCACACTCTTCGAGCAAGGCCCTCTGAGCAGGGAGTGGGCGCTTGGCAGTTCTGACAAGTCAGCTACACATTACGCATACGACTCGGAGCACGTCACATCTTTTCACTGCCGCCTGGGAACAGCAAACAGAAAAAGTAGGTAGTACGATTACCCACTGTAAATATTTGCCAGACAAAGCTCTTAGAATCTGTGCCGTTGATGGGCGTGTATAGACTGAAAATGTCAACCAAATGACAGCGCTAAGGTGCGCTAATTGTGCCTAGCCATGGCAAATTAAAGCCATCCAAAGCGACTCATGGAGTGCAATCGCACACAAATGGACGACCACACATAATGCTCGACCCGCCGAAGACCTCAACAATGGCAGGCAGAAAAGCGTGCAGAGAACGCCTCACAATGTGTAAGGAAGGCAGACATACAGCCAACTGGGCACTGACCAAGTTAATGAACAGCAGGGCGCCTTTGTCGTGACGCCTTGAAGCAGGGCGCGCCAGCTCCAGCAATTGTGTAAGCGGACACGCTATGAGAGGCCAATTACACACAACCCCTTTGCATTAATAGTGAATGCAGTGTACATAGAAAGTATTATAAAGGATACCGATTACGAACTAAGTCGTCGAAGAGCTTAAAAAAACATTTGAAATAAAATGCAATGGGAGTGAAAATACTCATAACCTATTCCTCTCTCTCTATCTCTGTCACTCTCTCTGTCTCTGTCTCTCTCTCTCGCTCTCTCTATCTCTCTCTGAGGAAAACTTGATAATGATTGTAGAATGTAAACATCTGAAGACTGAATCGAATCAATGTTTAAATTAAAAGGAAGATAGAGATATTCGTCTATTTTTACTTACGAAATGTTAATAACAACTAGGTTAATCAAAACTTCATATTAAAATAGGTAGATTTCTTGTTTCTTTCTTTTTAAGGTACATGGCAAGTGTTCAAGTAATTAAATAATTCAATTTAAAGCAACTAATGATAGCAGGCTATTTGAAATCATTAGACAACTGTTTTACAATTCCATGTACTTACAAAAGCCTTTAAATAAACATCGTTGAATATAATCTCTTTTGTATATTATCGATAAAAAAAAATTTTGTTGGCTTAGTATTTCATACTTTCATATTTTTCATAGTATTTCAACTTCGAGTCAAGATTTGAGATGTTGGAAATGATTCGCATTTAAATAACCTTCTATAAAATAAGTATCAAAAATACTTGAAATTTAACGTAATTATGACGTTTGATGGTACAAATGTATTTATTAATATTAATAAATTATTAAATATGTACAGTACAAATAAGATTACTTTGTGTCATATATTGTGAGAAGCGGAGCTTTGTTCTTTCCAAGCTGTGAATAAAATGAAAGGTTCATTTTCGAGATGACAGCAAAATTTTAACTTTTTTTATTACACTGTAATATATTGTTTCATATATTAAATAAAATGCAAATGTTTTCAAAATCGAACATTTTTGGGTCAATTTATCGTTCGAAATGTCAACGAATTTCGGAAGTGAATAATGCATACAATTTATAGTCTTGACTGCAGGTTTTATTTCAATTGTAACTTTTTCGCACTTAATGTGTTTATTTTTTGCGCATCATAAGGTCAAGAATCAAATTTCTAAAGACGCTTTGAAGAATGCTTACAACTTGTTTTTCAAAATAAGTATTAAAAGGTTTCTGATCAAGTACCTGAATAAATTGCCTGGGTTTCTTTTATTGTCTAATTTTTTTTTAAATGTTATTGTTTGAGCTAAGTGGCTTTTAAAGATATATAATTGGATTAAAGGTAAACAAAACAATTATTTTTTAAGTGCATTTCATTGAATTGACCCAAGCACGTATTGATTTTTTCTGGGCTTTTTCTAGACGTGGATGCATTATAATTTATATGGCATACACACGACGCTGTGACTGCCTCGAATTTGAATATTAATATCAACAAATTTTAAAATGTAATATTTAACGAATTGATACACGAGGTGTGAAACGTTGGAAAGGTCTCACATTTGAATAAAAAAGCATTTGCGTTTAATTAATAAGGGGTATCAAGTTTGAAATTGCATACAGAAGAGCGGGCCACAAAGCGCGTGGCTATAACAACAATAACAAAGCAGGCCACCAACAGCCGTCGCTAAAAATAAGGGACAATAAATGTGAGCATTACACACACGCCTTTTGGGCCTGCCACGCAAATAGCTTGCTAAAAGAGCAGTTGCAACAACAAACAGCAACAACAAACATTTGGCCAGCAAGCGCGTCACAGGCGAAAAGGTAAACTAATTCAAAGTCACAACCGCAACAGACAAAGACATTAAACAAAAGCCAAAAGACTTAAAGAAAAAATCAAATAAGAAGAAGAGACACAAAACTAAAAAGTGTGCAAACGAAAACTAAAAACTGTCAACAACATGGTCGGAATACAAGTATATTGCCGAAAATAGACAGTGAAGAGTAGCCGTGGGACGCCAGGTGTGCTCTGACGATGACCATGGGTGAGCATGTGGGGTGGTCCGCCTTTAAGTTGAGCATACTGTCAACATACACACACACACACACGCACACACATACAAGCAAATGCTCGCACACACATGCATATAGACACCGATATGGAAAAGGTATTGCAACAGAGCTCACCTTCGCAGTAGAAGAGCCAATGAAAAGCGACGCCAACGACTTAAAGCCGT